TTTGCATTCTAATGTATGGGCGCCTTCCACGACATAGTCTTTGGGTGGATCTAGGTATTATGTTACCTTTATTGACGATTTTTCACAAAATTTTGGGTGTATTTTTTTGAAACAGAAGTCTAACATTTTTTAGAAGTTCAGGCTGTGGAAAGTTGAGTTAGAAAACCAAACAGGACGAAAAATCAAGTGTTTTCGGCCTAACAATGGTGTGGAGTACATAGATTCAAAGTTTTTAAACTTTTGTAAGGGGGCATGGGATTAAGAGGCATTTTATAGTACGCAAGATACCATAGCAGAATGGTGTTGCGGAACGGATAAACAGGTCGTTGAATGGAAGAGCCAGATGTTTGCGGTTGAATGCGGGGCTTCCCAAACACTTATGATGTTGTTAACATGGCGTGTTATCTTATCAATAGATCGCCAAGGGAATCATTGGCTGGGAAAGTTGCATAAGAGGTATGGATTGGTCATGATATTACTTTTGATCATTTACGGATTTTTGGTTGTCCTACTTATGTGCATGTACCTGCTGATGAGAGATCCAAACTTAATGCAAAATCAAATGAGTGCATTTGTCTGGGTTATAAAACAGGTGTCAAAGGATTCAAGTTTTGAGATCCAATTGCGAAGAAAATTGTGATCAGTAGATATGTTGTTTTTGATGAACAACCCATGTTGCAGCAGAAGAAAGACACAAAAGTGGTGGATTTTGAGCAGTTTCCAGTTGAAAAAACAGAAACTTCTCAACCAACTTCTGGTGGTTTCGCTACGGTTGATTTGCAGGATTATAGTCTCACCAGAGACAGGGTAAGACAGACGAATATAAAGGCTCCGAACATATTGGGCTTTAAAGAATTGGTCTCTTTTGCACTTATTGTTAGCAGTGATGATCCGATTACTTTTCATGATGATGTTACTAGTCAGGAAAACGACAAGTGGATGACTGTCATGGTTGAGGAGAAGAAGTCTTTGAATCATAATCACACATGGGAGTTAGTTCGCCTTCTTGAGGGTAAGAAGCCTATTGGTTGCAAATGGTTGTATAAGAAGAAACCAGCAGTAACAGAAAAAGAGGGGGAGAAGTTCAAGGCTCGTTTGGTAGCAAAGGGTTTTTCACAGCAAAAAGGAGTTGATTATGATGAAATTTTTTCTCCTGTGGTCAGGCACACTTCAATCCGAGTAGTACTTGCATTGGTGGCTAGTTGGGATTTTCATTTAGAGCAGATGGATGTTAAAACTGCTTTTTTACATGGTAATTTAGAGGAGCAGATCTACATGCAACAACCTGAAGGTTTCACTCAATCTAAAAACAAGCATTTAGTTTACAGATTAAAGAAATCTTTGTACAGGTTAAAACAGTCTCCGAGACAATGGTATAAACGGTTTGACTCCTATATGATCAAGATTGGCTACAAGCGATGTGAGTATGATTGTTGTGTCTATGTTAAGAGCCTTGATGATGGTTCTTTTATTTTTCTATTATTGTATGTTAATGATATGTTAATTGTTACGAAGAACATGGATGAAGTTATCGGTTTGAAAACTTTATTGAGTCAGGAATTTGATATGAAAGATTTAGGTGCTGCAAAGAAAATTCTTGGAATGGAAATTTGCAGGGACAGAGACTCAAGGAAATTGTGGATATCTCAACGGGGTTATGTTGAGAAAATGCTAGAAAGGTTTGCGATGAGCAGCGCAAAACCAGTGAGCACTCCATTAGCGAATCATTTTAAGCTATCATCAAAACAGTACCCTAAGACAGATAAGGAAGTTGAAGATATGACAAAGGTTCCATATTCTAATGTTGTTGGTTGCTTGATGTATGCAATGGTATGTACTCGTTATGATTTAGCTCATGTTGTTAGTCAAGTTTGTAAGAACATGTCTAAACATGGTAAGCAACATATGGAAGCATTCAAGTGGATCTTTAAGTACTTAAAGGGTACTATGGGACATGGAATTATTTTTGGTAGTCAGCGGGAGTCCTTTGGTTGTAGGATATGTGGATTCATACTATGCAGATGACTTGGATAATAGAAGATCTACGACAGGGTATGTCTTTACTCTTGGTGGAGGGCATATTTGTTGGAAGTCTACTGTTCAATCTGTTGTGGCACTGAATACATGGCAGCGGCTGAAGCTGCAAAAGAAGCTTTATGGCTTATTGGTTTAATGAAGGAGTTGGGTGTTCAGCAAGGTGGAGTTCGGTTGCTTTGTGACAATCAAAGTACTATTCACTTGGCTAAGAATCAGGTATATCGTGCTAGAACTAAGCATATTGATGTAAGGTTTCACAAGATCAGAGAGTTGGTTGCATCTGGAGAGATTTTGTTTCAGAAGGTACATATTGATGATAATGCCACTGATATGTTCACCAAGCTAGTTACGACAGACAAGTTCATGCATTGCTTGGACTTGTTGAATGTTTCGAGTTGTTAAAGAAGTAAGGTAACCCAACCCATATTGAATGTTTCCTAAGTGGCAGGATATTTGCCAAGGTGGAGATTTGTCAGGTATGGCTCATAAATATACCAGTAAAGAGGACAGAGGATGGAGCGGAGTGAGCAAATCGAACATCATCTGTCCTTACAAAGAAAGTCTCGTAGTGGGGGTTACGATTATGTGGGTTGTGGTGCGGGGGCTGCGGTCGCGCGGTACGATACAGGGTTATTTTTGTAAATATGTACCAGGGTTTATTTATTATAAAAGGAGATGTAACAAAAACCTATGAGATATTATTGAATTGAATAAAATTCTAGCGCCGCCTAAGGCACCGATGACGTAAGCACATTGCTGAACCTCGTTAAAATTCTTGTGTTCTTTCTGTTTTCTTTACCCGATTATTCAACAAGAAGTTTACCAACACATTTATTTATTTATTTATTTTGGTCTAATTATGGTTTAAACTCAATTTGTTCAATAAAAAAAGTTAAAAGCCAAATCAATGGTTTTGAAGCCCATGTCAAGAAAGACGTTGGAATTTCAATTTAGACCGCCATAGTATCTGCATTTTAAACAAAAAACAGAAGCAATAATTGTCTAAGAAAATAGAAAATGTGATGAGCTGAAAGCCATGCATATTCTTGAGAGAAAAGCTGTTAGAGATATGGAAGAAGCATCAAATAGGGATTTTCATGTTGCAACCATCAAATGCAGATTTATAGATATCATTTTCAGAGCTCGACAGAAGACTAAGGAACTCCATGATAATAATCACAAAGTTGGTGCTGATAAAGTTAAACAAGTGGAGAAACACATTCCAACGAAGTCTGCTTGAAGAGAAGATGGGGATCAAAACTAAGTTGATGAAGCAAAATATGCAACGTCGAGAAAAAGATAGAAAAGCAGCTTGAATTGCACCGGAAAACATGGAAAACACGTTTGGTATTATGATAAATTTAGAGGTTCAAAAGAAGTTCGCGGCACTCATCAGATCTTCTTCTTCTTCATCTTCATCTTCATCCTGCTTATAGTAATCCATTTAGTCATCATGTGAAACTTTGTTTTGTAAAGAATGGGGTTGCTTTTTTTCATTTTCATTTTTTTTTCTTTTTTTGAATCGGCAATTTTGTATACAATGTTACAAACAAACTGTGTGCATACATTCAAACTGAGTTTGATTGTTAAGTTTCTTTGTGGATAAAATGAATTATAGCATTAGCTTATGGTACTTTGAGTTTTTAATATTATTTCAGCCTTCTTCTTCTTTATCTCACTTTAGGGTTTGTACTGTTATTCGAATTTGAGTTAGGGGTTTACTTGTAATATAATATAATGGACAAGAGTCAACCTACATGCATCGAATGTCAATTTAGTCCTAAAAAGATGAAATATTTGCAGAATTTGCCTTTTACAAACACTACAATGAAGAAATGTTAAAGTTATATCAAAATGTTAAAACTTTAGGGGTATTTTCTGTTATTCTTGTAATAGTTAACTAGTATTTTTTTCGTAGAGGATCTCACGTATCTATCTCTAGCTCCCATGAATCACCTTAATCTTCTTTTGATGTTTAAATCTTTCCTTTATTTACTTAATCATCTCTCGCTTCTTGTCCAAAACCCATAATTTTGTTTTTCATTTTCAATTAATTTATGGCCAAAAGATTAGGGGATGCGATTAGGTTTATGACTCCTTGGGATTAGGGGAAGTGGGTTCTTCAAACCAAGTTCTAATTTATTACTTTTAAGTCCCCCCCCCCTCTCTCTGCAAATTTTAAGTCCCCCCCCCTCTCTCTGCAAATTTTGATAAAATACATAGAGCTGTACAAAATTACACAGTATTAATATTATGAATATGGAAAGGGACCTCATTGTCAAATGGTTAAGAATATTTAAAACATAATCAACTTAATTTAATAAAAAAATTAGAATCTGATATCAATTAAGACTTCATTTACCTTACAATAGTGTTAGAGGAAGAAAACATTTTATGTGAAAAATATATTGATGAATCGGTAGTTTCAAGATTGTTGAGGTCGTTAATTAGAATTTATTTTTACAAATTCTCAAAATATTTTAATTATGTGAATATGAAACTAATTAATAGAGTGTTCAAATCAACTTTTAACCGTTAACGGTGCTATTACATTTTACAAGTTAATTAATCTTACCATCAATGTTAAACAGTTTCGATTAATCGAACAGCTAAATATATCGGTTAACGATTACGGTTACAATTACAAATTTTAATAAATGGTTAATCATCGATTAATTGTTAATAAATTATAATTAATTATAAATCATTTTTCAAATACTGACGTGACATTATCTTATGATTATACATCAATATTGCCGTTATTTTTTACCGACAACATCAGGTGATTGAAACAAAAACTAAATAATAGTAGGTAGATGACCAAATAGATAGCTTAGCCTAATATTTAAAGCCGGTGGGGCTAAGACGATACAAAGCGTAGCCGTTGGGGGAGCATTTCATCAACAAAAAGAAAATGGGCAAATTTAGTACCAAACAAACAGGCAGATAAAGCATGCTGCCACTAAAACAAGGCTATTACATAGAACCAAACCCAGGACAAGCTTCACAAACTCAGGTGAGAGAAGAGGGATGGGACGAGATCTACCACTGACCACGCAAGGCCTGCGTATTGAAGGAAGCGGATACCAGTGTCTACGTCGAATAAATCTTGGTTAGAGAAAAATAACATCTTTTGGATATAACTTGACTGCTTAATCTCACTGGTTTTCTTCTCTGTGGTTTAACTGTTAAGCATCGGAATATAGCTGGTTGATTTTATGGGGATACCCAATGTGTTTGATACTACCGGGAGAATCCATTTCGCGAGAGCCTTACTGCAGAACTTGACGATCAGGATCGTCGGTATCCCAACAAGCATTCTTCCCAAAAAAGCAGGAAGCGTGAGTCGAGAGGTAAATATTCGTGGAACGGCTTCATGGTGGAACTGGTCGTATGTCTGCTGAATCCCAGCCACCTGCTCGACATTAACAAATTAAAGTGATACATTGATGAATGTCAATCCAAAACCTTTTATCTCTGTTAGTGGAAGAAGGTTCAATTGATTTTCTTGATGCAAATGCAAATATTGTACCTTGTTTCTGTCAATGAATGATGCTCACTTAGGAAATAACATGCATGACTATGTATAAATATAATTTTGAGTTGCTATAAATTAGAGGCTCAAAGAAAAGGACTTGTTTCTGATACTTGGAAGATGAGCACATTACTCATCAAAATCCATAACCATATTCAATGTCAATAACAAGACTCGGAATTGCACTCTCAGTAAATTCCCAAGATGATGTAGTTCACTGTTATAATGGTACCAAATACCATACGACATGTTTGAATAACACTAACCACATCACCTTCATAACTAAAATATGTTCCTTCTGCTTGAATCTGCATCATCTTTTATATGTTGGCACGTGTCGAGAACCATTTATTCATGCCAATAATATTTGTCAAAATGCAGAACCCATGCTTATAATTAATATCGATGCATCTTCTAAATGATCCAACAGCTATAGAAAATATCTCGACACAGAAACTGCCACTCCCTAATGCCATCAGGAGCAGGAATTGTGAGAAATTTTGATTTTCTATCTAAGCATAGGTTTCTTGGAGCAAAAGATCGGGAATTTTTCTTTGGTCTGCTAAATTATGCAAATCCAAAGATCCCAAAAGAACCTGACCAACCAAAGCTAATTTTTCTTGTACACAATAGATATTCGTGTAATGTTACAATTCTATAAGCTATTTTATACCATAAATTCACCTCTAAATAATTTTAACCATAACCATAGTTGTTTGTCAAGCTTGAAGTTTATACAAGCAAATGATTGGACACAAAAACAGTATGGATTAATTTTGTCTTTGACATTTTCAAGGCATAAGCATCTTCAGCTTTCATATCTAACCATGATACGGTGTTTGCTCCCGAAACAATTTCCTTTTCTGAAATGAAAGCAATTAATCTCGGTTCTCACAAATACCAATTCGTTTCTTCTATGTGCTTGAGATCTTTAAACTTTTGCATTCAATATTGTCAGAGATTAGTTTCCTTAATTGAAGGATTTGTAAATATTTTATTTGATTAGGATCCCTTACTCTAAGGGTCTGTATTATGTTACTAAACTGTTGAATAATAAAAAAAAGTCTTTTCGACATTGTATCAGAGCCTCTCGTTTCTTAGGCCTTACTATTCTTGTTGGACAGTATTCTTTGATCTTTTTTCCTCTTGAGAGAGTATAGCCGATACTAATGATTCAAGCAGTACTGGAACTGCTCAAAAAGACTATGAATGAAAGGAGTCACTCCAATTTGACGAGTGACTTACAAAACATACAAGCCTCCTATAGGTTGAATGGTAAAAATTTCCTTAAATGGTCTCAATTGGTTCAAACTTTCCTCAAAGGAAGGGGTAAACTCAGTCATCTTCTTGGAACTGGTCCTGAGGAAGGAGATCCCAAATTTAAAGCTTGGGATGAACAAGATTTGTTAGTAATGACTTGGTTGTGGAATTCGATGGTGCCCGAAATCAGTGACACTTGCATGTTCCTCAGCAGAGCCAAGGAGATATGGAAGGCTGTAAAACAAACCTATTCAAAAGTTAGAGATGCTGCCCAGATTTATGAAATCAAAAGCAAGATTTCGACCACCAAACAAGGAAGCAAATCCATTACAGAATATTCTAACCTAATGCAAAATCTCTGGCAGGAAATGGATCACTACCAATGCATTAAGATGAAATGCAGTGAGGATGCAGCAACTCTAAAGATGTTTGTCGAAAAAGATAGAATTTATAATTTTCTTGTTGGACTGAATATAGAATTTGATGAAGAGAAAATCCAGATTTTGGAGAAGGAAGATCTGCCCTCATTAAATGAGGCTATTGCTACCATTCGTGCTGAATAAGGAAGAAGATGAGTGATGGTGGTCGAAAACAGCCAAGTTGTGAGCTCAGCCTCGGTTACCAAAACTGTCTCTGAGAGGTCAACACGTATGGAAAATATTGAAGATAGACCAGAAATAACAAGGACAATAAACAAGGACTCCTTATGGTGTACTTACTGCAAAAAGCCTCGACACACCAAAGAGAAATGTTGGAGGCTACATGGGAAGCCTCCTTCAACGAATATAAATTTCACTAAAAAAGAAGGCTCAGCAAGGGGATAGAATAGAGCTTTTGTAACCAGACAAGTGGCTAAAGAGTCAGATGAACAATCTGTTGAGTTAAACCGAGAAAAAGTTAAAAAGTTGAAAAATCTTCTAGAATCTTTAGAGAAACCATCCTCTACAGGTATATACAATATGGTCTTCTCAAGTTTATCCTCTTCCTCTTCTTAGAATTATGACGCCTCTACCCACATATCTACCCTAAACTCCTGGGTAATAGACTCAGGAGCCACTGATCATATGACCAATTCTTCTCTAAATTTCATCACCTATATACCCTGTCCTAGCAACAAGAATATTACAGTTGCAGATGGTACTATGGTAAGTTGTTGGCCAAGGATATATTGCCACTAATAAAACTCTTCTACTTAAAAATGTACTACATTGCCAAAGTTGTTTATTAGCCTTATCTCTATACCAAAACTTGTTAAAGATACTTTTCGTAACCGGTTTTCGCCCGGGCACAAAACGGGAAAAGTAAAATGAATGAATAAATGATTTAAAAAATATTTTGGGAGTCGCCATCGACCTTTTTGGGTTAGGTAGGTCGAATACCTAAAAATCTTTTAAAAGTTTTTAAGAAACATCAGTTAAAAGATAAAATGGTCTGTGTTTAACAAAAAATTCATTCTTTTTAATAATAAAAAGGGATTCGTGGTCGATTACGTTTGGGGAAGGATTAACACCCCCACAACGCCCAAAATTAGTCTCTGTCGATATAAGGATAGCATCAAAATGAGAACCGCCTTTTGTCTTGGATTGAACCTGAGTTTCAGATTTCGGGAGCAGACTAAACCTCGACGATTTCAGATTACATGATTTCTTCCCATTTCTGGGAACTTTTACAGTTGTCACCATTTCCTGGGTATCTCCAGATAATTTGTGAATACGAATAATGACTGTTTGTAATTTCTCAAATTGGTTAGGACCATAAGTCTCTTGTATATCTGAGATTGCATGATTATTTTCATTGAGCTCTCTCTCTTTTTGTGCAGGAATCTCTTTTCCTTTGGCCAAAACAGATATTCTAACCATCATCTTGGACATTTGTTCTCTTATTTCTCGTATCTCCTTTTGCTCCTCAACAGGCATACAATCTTTGGGTGCATAGCTCTCCTCTATCTTCAGAGTACCCTCAGGATGTCTTTCCTTAGCTGCGTTATAGTTTGCTTAATCATAAAACTTTTTGTCCATTTATGAATTCTTTCCAATTTGATGTCCACTCTCAAGAGTCAACACCTTCTGGTTATGTCATGATCATGCAATGCAAGCACAAGAAATCAATATAAACAAATTAGAGCAAAATACAATGTATCTACAAAATAGATAACAATAAAATGGTTAATACCAACTAATAGAAAGAAAAGATTCTATTTATCATGGTGTATAATATATCCTAACCGCATGCTTTCTAGCTCCTTGCTTTGTTTGGAAAAATTAACCTAACCGCATAATTACTAGTTCGTAGGCATTTATTTAGAAGAAAATAAAATCAAATAAATTAAAAGCTAGAGCTTATTTCTCCTTTGTGTACCCTTACGTACAAAGTTTCAGCATTGTCTTAGATCGGGTGAATTTCTAGGGTTTATTATATGCAAGGTTATGGTTCTATGAGTAAAGGTAATCGAATTGACCCTGTTAGTGCCCCTTAGGCTGCCAAACCCTCAATCTTAATCCATTACAGACTTAAGCGGATCGAGTTCAATTTGAAGGGACACATTTCTCTATGCCTGACACGGAGAATAAATTCTCACGAAAACATAGAGCATATGAACCTCGAAGTTACCTGCTGCCTGACACGGAGAATAAATTCTCACGAAGACGTCGCTTTCACTTCCACTTAAAAGGGACAAGCTTGATTATAAAGCTTATGTTATGCAATGCACGTGTTCTATGTGAGGAGAAATTTTTACACAAAAATTAATATCTAAAAAGTAATTAAATATAAACACACACACACACACACATATATATACGTATAAAATAAATTGAAAGAAATAAAAAGAATCATAAATTAAATAAAATCAGATTCTCAATTTCTAACTCTAGAGACAAAATATAATCGACTTAGGTTGACCAAGGTCTCCAGCGGAGTCGCCAAGCTATCGTAACTGGTTTTCGCCCGAGCACGAAATTTTCTTGGCCGAAAAAATAAAATGAATGAATAAATGATTTTGAAAAAAAATGTTTTGGGAGTCGCCATCGACCTTTTTGGGTTAGGTAGGTTAAATACCTAAAAATCATCTTTCAAAAAGTTTTTAAGAAAACATCAGTTAAAAGATAAATTAAAATTAGTCTGCGTTTAACCAAAAATTCGTTCTTTTTAATAATAAAAAGGGATTCGTGGTCGGTTACGTTTGGGGAAGGATTAGCACCTTCACAACGCTCAAAATTGATCCTTGTCGATTATAAATTATCTCTAATAATAGAATTTAAGAATTCGAATATACATTTAATTTATGATCTTTACATATTCAATCGGATATTTCTAAGAAAAAAGTATTAAATAAATAAATAAATATATATATATATTTAGGGTTTTGTAAATATGACATTTATTTATTTAAAAATATCAGAAAATGACATCTAGTTATTTTAAGATTGCTCATTTCTTTGATATTAAAAAATAAATAATATTAAGAATATAATATTTTTCTTAAAATAATAAAAAATGAAGTAATATATATATATTATAAGCATATATATATATATATATATATATATATATTTAAGCATGATATTTATTTAGTTTTAAATATCAGAATAGGACGTCTGGTTATTTTAAGACCACCCTTTGTTAATATTTAAAAAAAAATAAATATTATTTAATTAATTTGTGAATTAATTAATAATACTTATTAATCTTTCATATATATATATATATATATATATATATATATATATAGATATATATATATATACATAATAAATGACTAAAATTAAATAAATATAAAATATAATATAATAATTTGAATAGAACTAAAATAATTATATATGTATACTAAGATATTTATTTATTTAAATAATATTGAAATAGAACTTCTAGTTAAGTTAAGACAACCCTTTTCATAATATTTAAAATAAATAAACATTTATTTAATCATCTATATATATATATATATATATATATATATATATATATACGAATAAATAATATTTAAAATATTAAATTAAACATATTGAAATTAAAAAGATAATATAAAAATAAATTGGAATTAAATAGTGACTAAAATAATAAAATTAAAATAATAGGATAAATATAAAATATTAAAATTAAAGGCCCTAATTCAAATTATTTAAAAAACCATGTACTCATAGTATAATTTAGCCTTAATTAATTATTTCGGGGTTAAAATAAAATTTATTCAAGAATGAGGGACTAAATAATGCATTTACCCTAAATATATAAACATATATAAACAATGACTATAATATAAATTAATTAAAATTAGAATACCAAATTAAAATAATTAGAAATTGCTTTCAGTGACTAAATTACAGAGATTACAAACTATAGTGACTACAAGTATAGTTTACCCACACGGAAAATTACACAGGTGCCCTCACCAAAACTACGTCGTTTTGGTGAGGGTATTTATGCCCCCTTATAACCAGCCTTAAGGCCAAAATTTTCATTTCTTCTCTTCCTATTCTCTCTATAAAACGAGAGAGATGTATCTCTCCCTTCTCTATAGGATTCCCTCACCGGAGGGAATCTGATCGCCGACCGGCAGCCACACGCCACTGTCGAGCACCGCCTCTGGTGGCCGAAAAACACAAAATTTCCCCAAATCGTAGATTTACTCAACCCAAAATTGAATCCGGTTTTTATTTCTCCTAAATACCCCTTAAAATTAATAGATCTAAAAAATACTGATGGTTTTACCTCGGTTTTCACTAGGTTTCCAGCGACGAGAAGCTTCTTCGAGGGTAAGTTTTTTTTGGTTTTTTTCTCTTTTTTTCTTTCGATTTGCTACTATGGTGTATTGCCCTCTGTGTGTTGGTTGTTCGTTGTTGTTTTCTTCTTACTCCCGTTTTTGCTCTCTGTCTGTGGTGTTGCAGGTTCGGTCGATGGCCTTTATATGCCTCGTCGATGTCCTCTTCGGACCAGTTAATGGATGGAAGCCCTGGTGAGTCACCAAAGCTATGCTGGTGACTCACCAGGGGTGACGTGTACGGCTGGAGTGGTACTTCTAGAGGCTTCGACGAGACGTTGGCGTGGCAGCGGGGTGTCAACGTGGGGCGGCTGGAATGTCGGCAGTGGTAGGTTGGACCACCTGGTAGTAGAGTGTTGGCAATGGTTGTGGATAGCTGAGGCGGTGGCGGTGCTAGTTGAGATAGGGTTTAGAAACCCTATCTGCATAGGGTTTGGGTCCTGTTGGGCCTAGAATTGTAATATGGCACCGATTTTGGTCTTTGTAATATTTATTTAATAATAATAATAATAATAATAATAATAAGATAAAAAAATTAGTGTTTACTTTACTAATTGCAATGTTTTGTTTTATCCAACACAATGTATTTTTCAGGAGCAAGAAACGAAGAGGATAATTGGGCATGCTAGGGAAATAAAAGACTTATACTACCTTGAGGTCTTTGGTGGACCAACTAGTGTTTTGAATACTTAGCCTTTGTCTTTTTTATCTAATTCTACAGCCAATAAAAACCAGATATGGCTACATCATTTTCCCCGTGGTCACCCACCTTTTAGACTTTTAAAAACTATGTTTCCTTTTTTATGTAAAACCATAAATACTGATGAATTTCATTGTGAAGTTTGTGAACTCGCAAACCATAAACGTTCCTCTTTTCCAGCAAGTAATAAAAGAACCAGTCATCCCTTCAATCTTGTTCATAGTGATGTTTAGGGCCCTCTACCATTCCAAACATAACTAGGGCTAGGTGGTTTGTATCTTTTATAGATGATTGCAGCAGAGTTACTTGGATTTATCTTCTGAAACAAAAGTCAAATGCTACCTCTACCTTTAAAACTTTTTACACCATGATTAAGACTCAGTTTGCGGCTGAAATTAAGAAAGTCAAATCTGACAATGTTGGAGATTACTTTAATCAATTTATATCTCTTTATTTCTTAGACAAAGATATTATACATAAATCATCTTCTATAAATACTCCCCAACATAATGGGGTAGCAGAAAGAAATAATGGACACCTCCTTGCTATAACTAGAGCCCTTTTGTTTCAAAACAATGTCCCTAAAAATATTGGGGAGAAGCTGCATTGACTAGTACTTCTCTGATAAACATAATACCCTCTAAAATCCTTTCATCCCAAAGTCCACTTCAAACCCTTGTCAAGTTCTTTCCAAACTTCAGTCCATCTTTTCATCTACAACCAAGAGTATTCATTGGTTATTCCTCCTCTCAGAAAGGCTACAAGTGTTATCACCTACCTACCAAAAAAATCTATACTTTTGTTGATGTTACTTTTGTTGAAAAGCATAGTTATTTTACTGTTACTTATCTTCAGGGGAGGATATCTTTTAGGGAAGATAAGGAAGCAGAAACAAACCTATTTTTACTACCCCTTCTTAATCAGCCTCCTATTACTCCTACTGTAGAAATACATTATGGTTAGCCATCTTCTCCTATTCCTACTTCATCTTCTCCTCAAAATCCTCAACGAGTCATTAAAATATCACAACCCAATATTCAAGATACTACTTGTCCCCTAAGGATCTATTCAAGGAGGAAGACACCTATGCAGATTCAATCATTCCCTTCTCCTGCTCCTACTCCTACTCCTACTCCTATTCCTATTCATATTCCTATACAGCTTGAGGTACATCCTGAAACTTCTTCTGAACATAATGATAATGACAATGTTATATCTGCCTCTGAACATAATGACATTGCTTTTATTTTTGAATTTCCTATTGCCACTAGAAAAGGAAAAAGAACCTGCACCACTAAACATCTCTTCTATTTGTTAATGACTTACAAAAACCTTTCACCCAGCCACAAAACATGCATTACTAGCCTGAATGATATCACTATTCCTAAAACAGCATTAGGGGCATTAGAGAATGAAAACTGGAAAAAGGCTATGAAAGAAGAAATGGAGGCAGTAGAAGAAAACCAGACTTGGGACTTAGTAAAGCTGCCGGAAGGAAAGAAAACAGTGGGATACAGGTAGGTCTTTACTGTAAAATACAAGTCAGATGGCTCTTTGGAAAGGTACAAAGCAAGATTGGTGGCAAAAGGGTACTCTCAAACCTATGAGATTGACTATCATGAAACATTTGCACATGTTGCAAAGATGAACACAGTAAGGGTCCTACTTTCTTTATCAGCTATTCAGGGATGGAATCTGCAGCAGTCTGACATCAAAAATGCCTTTTTACATGGAGACCTTGAGGTAGAAGTGTACATGGATATTCCACCTGGATTTGTTTCGACTACTGGACAAAATGTTTGCAGATTAACGAAAGCTCTATATGGACTAAAACAATCCCCAAGAGCTTGGTTTGGGAGATTTACCAAAGTAATGTTGGGACAATGCTTCAAACAGAGCCAAGGTGATCATATTATGTTTGTTAAATACTCTTCTTCAAGGGGAGTAACTATACTATTGGTGTATGTAGATGATATTATTGTTACAAATAATGATTTAGAAGGAATTGATAACTTAAATAAATGCCTTGTAAAAGAGTTTGAAGTGAAAGAACTTGGAAGATTAAAGTACTTTCTTGGTATTAAGGTGGCACAGAAATTCATTTCAAAGACTGGTGGGAAGACTCATCTATTTGTCACACACCAGACCAGACATAGCATATGTTGTTGAGGTTGTGAGTCAATTCATGCACAACCCTAAGGAACCACGCCTAAGGGTTGTAGTTCAAATCTTACAGTACTTGAAGGGCACACCAGGCAAAGGAATTATGTTCAAAAGAGATGAGAAATTAACTCTGGAAGCATACACAAGTGCAAACTATACAGGATCAATAGTTGATAGAAGATCAACCTCAGGCTACTGCACCTTTCTTGGAGGAAACTTAGTTACTTGGAGAAGTAAAAAATAGAATGTGGTGGCTAGATTCAGTGCAGAAGCTGAGTTTCAAGCTATGGCACTGGGAATTTGTGAGTTATTATGACTGAAAATTATTTTAGAAGACTTAAAAGTGAAATGGGATGGACCAATGAAGCTATAATGTGATAACAAGTCTGCAATCAACATAACTCACAATCCAATTCAACATGACAAAGCAAAACATGTTGAAGTGGATAGACATTTCATAAAAGAGAAACTTGACAGTGGTTTAATCTGTACTCCCTATGTAACCACTGGAAATCAAGTTGCAGACATACTTACCAAGGGACTATCAAGTAAAGACTTTCAGAAGTTAACAGGCAAGGTGAGGATGGAAGACATCCATGCCCCAGCTTGAGGGGGGAGTGTCAGAGATTAGTTTCCTTAATTGAAAGATTTGTAAATATTTTATTTGATTAGGATCCCTTACTCTAAGGATTTGTATCATGTTACTAGAAGTAGTTTATTACCTAGTTTAAAAGTTACCTAAGATAGGCCCTAGGTTTGTGTATTTATTTGTAAGTGTTTTCACTGTTGAATGATAAGAAAAACAGTTTTTCAACAAATATTGTTAATTAACTTTAAAGGTGTCAGTAATTCATCAAAAATGCATTCCTACAAAAATTTTGGTGAAAGTAGCTAAGATTTGTGTCTGCTATACGGGTGATCAATTACTTACAATTCCAAATGCAACACCGTCAAAGGCAGTATGATACTCGAAACTTGGAGTTGGCAACTCAGGCGTGGGATAAGCAAAAAGTAAGAGAAAGCTCAAGACATCCCAAAATGATGTAACTACAACAAGAAAAGTAAGCATAAAGAATATAGAAAAATGTATTGTGCTTCAACATTCAAATATTCAACTAGAACCAGAGCGTAATTAGTTTCAAGCGAACACCGTCAAAGGCAGTATGATACTCGAAACTTGGAGTTGGCAACTCAGGCGTGGGATAAGCAAAAAGTAAGAGAAAGCTCAAGACATCCAATGATGTAACTACAACAAGAAAAGTAAGCATAAAGAATATAGAAAAATGTATTGTGCTTCAACATTCAAATATTCAACTAGAACCAGAGCGTAATTATGTTTCAAGCGTTAAGATTACCGATCATATTTTTCAAGTTAGAAAGGCCACTGGTCATTTTAATCTATGAAACCAAGGCCAGGGAAATAGAAGATCGATCCCTATTCACCTAATTGGTTTGATGACAATACAACCTGCTCAGACAGATTCTTTTAGCCTATGAAAGCACAAATGTTCTGAATCCAAATCTACTTACCATTGTGTCCAGAGACAATAAAGGCATCCACACATTCATAGACTGTTAGCCACATTGCAAGAATCACCAACCCGACGACGAGACCTCCAGCGATATCAATTAAGCTGTGCATGCCAAGGTATATTCTTCCTACCAATGAGACAAATTCGGCTGAGTATTGACAAAAGCCAAGAACTTCTGAAGAAAAACTAACCTACCGAAACCAATGAAGCCCACAAGCAAGCAAGCAACGGTGACTGCACCAAGCTCCACATAAGCATCTTCACTCGGTATGTAGGATAAAATGTAGTATACAAGGAATCTGGAAATTACCAGATGATAAGTTGACAAGTAATCAAAGAAGAGTGCTTAATTTATTGTAAAGGATTGACAACCCATCAGACCTCCCACAGCTCTTCTTTTAGTTTTCGCCTTGTTTTCCCGTCCTACCAACACATGAGAATTATGAATTTGCAAAGAATATATATTATGTTCCCAATAATTGAGGCATATGACCGTCTGTAGATATCCTCAGTATACTTCCTACACGGTTTAATAGCATCTACTGCATTACCGTTTCTCTCAAAGTCATTTAGAGAACTTATAGATAAAATCTGAACTACAAAAGCTCGCAAAACTGCTAAACCAAAAGGTTTATGTAAAAAGGAAAGTTCCATACCCAGATAAGCATACTGTATTGAGAGTATGAGAAGAAGGCAACCCATATTCCAATGCATTGTCTTCGTCATCTGTTGTGGCCGTTATCCGTCTAACAGGGGGGCAATTCGGTCTAGGAGCTGATACCACATCCTTAAAATGAAGACCATCAAACAGAAAGCAAATTGATATCAAAAGTTACTTCATTAAACACATTGCCATAAAAAGAAATGATAAAACCATGTAAACAAGGACCTTCATGCAGTTTCCTAGATAATCACAGGAAGCAATCAACAGGGTCATCTGTCTCGCCAATTTCCCATGCCCACTCTGGAAACATCATTAAACGAAATAGCCAATGAGAAAAAAATTACAAATCAAGATTATCCGAAAAGTGAAAGCAAAATAGAAAACATACCCAGAAAAGCAAAGGAAGAAACGTAGTGTAAAAGGGCACAGAAACCACACAGGACAACCCAGAAAAGAGAGCATCCAAGAATTTATGCCGATGTTTCTGGGAAAAACAAAAGAATAGGAAAAACAAAATCCATCAAACCAAAAGAAAAATGACAATCTGGGTATCATTTATTTTAGTCAAAACCTGTATCTTGAGGATGGTAGAAGTTCCTCTAACAGTCCTTCAAATTGATGCTTGGAGTTTGGGAGGAAAATGGCAGGAAATTGACTAAATTTTGTTGTTTTAAATTTTCCGCACATAAAAATAAATAAATCTATGAGCTATTAATCTTTTTTTCGTTAAAAAATTGAGATGGTTTTGAGATCCATGGGTTCATGGCTTTGTTGGTTTTTGGCTGGTAATCGGCCACTGAGAACTATAAGCAAAGACACACGGGATTGAAAGAACATTCTAACCGAATGTTTGTTTCCTGTAATCGGTATTTTGAAAAATATCTTTTGGGTAAACTATTTCAGTAACCATCTAATTATAGTATCTTTTCATTTTGATTATAAGTTTTGAATTTTTGTCAATCAGACTACTCAACTATAAATGCATTCAATCTAGCCACTATCTGTTAATATTTAACGGAGGAGGTGATGTAACATTTAAAAAATTTAGTATAATTACATATTCGATCCTCAATATTTAAATATTTTATCAATTTATTCATTATTTTAATTTATTAAATTTAATCCCCAATCAGATAGTAACACATGTCAATATATAATTAAAGTTATTTTTTATAATTTAATATATTTAATTTAATTATTTTTATGGATCAGATAGTGACATATGGCCCATCTGGTTAGATGAAAAACAAATCACATGGAAAAGTTAATCAAGGTGGCTGAGAAGACACGAATCCAGGACTTTTGGTGATAAACCATGAACCTTTACCAATTAGCCTAGCGTTGTAACTTACACGATAATGTATATATATTATACTTAAATTAATACTAGCAAAATGGAAAGGAAAACGGGTGTGGTAAGATTCAAACCTATACCAAATATAAAACTTGACAGCACAAAACTATTAATGTAAATATTATATTTGATTAAAATACGGATAGATATTTTATATATTTCAAATACTAGTTTATACAAGATTAAAAGAAAATTGATACTCTTTTAATTTAATTAATAATTTTAACTTTTATTAAAAAATTAAAATTTACAAATCATTTCTATTTTAATTAATTTTTATTGGATTATATAGTTAAAACGTGTAATTAGAAATCGATTTTAATCATTTGCAGAACTTAAATTTAATTTATTTTTTAATCTTGTATAAACTAGTATTTAAAATATATAAAATATCTATCTGAATATTAACCAAATATAATATTTGTTTTAGTAATTTTGTACTGTCAAGTTTTATATTTGGTCTAGGTTCGAATATTACAACACACATTTTCCTTTACTTTTTGCTGGTAATAATTTGAGTATAATATATATATATATACATTATCATGTAACTTACAATGTATCTGATGGCATATGCTAATTGGTAAGGGTGCTTGCTTCATCACCAAAAGGCTTGGGTTTGAGTTCTTTCAACCCCCATGATTTATTTTACTTTGTGATTTGTTTTCCATTCAACCAGATATACCACATGTCAATATCTGATTGAATAAAAATAATTAAATTAAATATACTAAATTATTAAAAAAATCATCTTTAATTATACAATGACACGTGTAACTATCTGATTGAAAGATTAATTTAATAAATTAAATTAAAATAATGACTAAATTGATAGACTATATAAGTATTGAGGATCAAATATATAATTATACAAAATTTTTAATGGCCATGGTGGCTTGATTGAAAAAAATTCAAAAATAATGGTCAAAATTAAAAAAGGGCTATAGTTAGATGGTTAATGGTGTAGTTTACCCATATCTTTTCTACTTTTTAATGTTTTAATATAATTTACTTTTTCATTAATAAAAATTTTATTTATATTTTTTTGAAAATAAAATTACTGTCTAATTTTTATATTATTTTTTTAAAATTTTCACTTTAAAAAAATGCTTTAAATATTATTACTTTATATACTTATTATTAAAATGTTTTAATATATTTTAATGAAAATATTAATTATTGAATTATATTTATAGATATTTTAATAATATAATATTATTTTCTAATATTATAATAATATATTTAATTATATTATAATAATATTTTATTATATTTTATTTTTAATAATATATAATCATTAATTAATAAAATTAATATTATTTGTTAATTTCATAAAAATAATTTTATTAAATAATAGAGTATTTAAAATATATTTATCAATAATTTTAAAATGTAATATAATATTTTTATTTTAAAATAATAATAAAATTATTACTATTTAAATAAGTTATTAAAATGATATATTATTTTTAAATAAATTAATATAATTTATAATCATTTTATTTTAATAAAATATAGTAATATTTTTATTTTTATTTATAAAGTTATAGATATAATATTTTAGTAATATTATTGACGTAAATAATGTTAAATAAATTATTCTTTTAAAAAATTATTATTATTTTTCTAATAAATAATATTATTTATTATATTCAATATTTCTAATAAATAATGATATAATAACAAAAAAACCCATTAATATTTAACAACATTATCATTTTGATCTATATTCTTTGTTTGAAGCATTTTGATCCCTAATATTTTATTTTAGAGCAAAATACTCCTGATTGAATAGAAATCGTTGGTTAAGTAATGGTTAATGCTCCTTACTAATGTGGCATGTTCATGTGAACAAAAATACTAACGTGATATGTTCACATAGGATGTCACATTGGTAAAATTTTTAAAATTAATTAATTATATTTTTTATTTTTTAAAAGTTAATTATTAATAGATTAATCAATGCCACGTGGCATCATCTAGTTGGTTTCAAAGGAATGAAGTGAATAAATCACTAAGTGAGGGCAACGAGACTTGTTCTGAGGTCTTGGGAGTCAAAGGCTTAATGCCTAACCAATAACCACCTAGCCAACTTGCTTACATGTTATAAATTGACTAACAAATTTAAAGTATATTGTAATGGTAATTACTTGCATATATTTTCATAAATTATGGGTATTTTACTTCAAAATAAAATGTTGGGAGTAAAGTGTTTCAAAAAAGAATGATAGTCAAAATGGCAATGTTATCAAAGGTTAGAGGTTTTTTTTGTCATTATGTCTTAAATAATTTCTAAAAATATTTATGAACAAGTGAAAAGTGATTTACACGACATCATTCAAATACCGTATAATGATTTTCAGAAAATGTTAAATTAAAGGGCAAATAACATGTGTCACCAAACTATTATCACATTTTTTTATTTTAGTAAACTACATACCTAAACTAATTACTTTTGGTCCATTTTAGTATTTATTTTTCAAAATTATACCTAACGTTTGGTTTAAGTTTTATTTTGGCACCCCCACCGTTAAAAACATAACAATAATGTTGTTGTGTCAATATAAGGTAATGAAACGTGAAAAATAAAAATCTCACTTCGGCAGTTCTATTAATTTTTTTTCAAAATCTCACGTCACTATAAGGAATAAGGGTCAAAGTGAATATCCTTTCAAATGTTTGGGACTTTTTGTGTTAAAATGAAACGTTGGGAGCCAAAATGCTCAAAAAAATAGGGGCCAAAATGACCATTTCGATAAATATTAGGGACTAATTTTAATATTATGCATTTGAAAAAATAATTATGTCCCAAAACAGAATAAAAGTGATATGCAGGTATTAAATGTACAGTTTAAGGGCCTTGTTGCATTGATTGGGTTTGTGCATACGGATGTATATGGTGATTCAACCGTGATCCAGTTGATATGGGTCCTATAAAACTTAGCGGATGGATCGGATAGTTAGAGAGGCTTAATAGCTCTTATACGCATTTTGTTCTCCATTACTATTAGTTTCCTATTGCATGTTCTCTAAATGGTTTATTTGTCTAGGTTGATGTTCATCTACAGTCACAAATTGATGACCTTTCTGTTATCTAGAGTTACTCGTTGATAAGAAGAATGAAGTTTCTCATCATTGTCAGTTGTTATGGGTTTGGGTTTAGGGTTAGGATTCAATATTAGCGGCACACACCGCCCTTCCCTCGGTTCATCCTTAGTTAGCTTACTTGGCGAGAGAAGGGAATGGGATTAAATAAGATGAACTTTACTTGATAAACCCCTCGAGAGAGTTAAATTACATCACAAAAGAAGGGTAGACTTCTCTGCCTTCTTGGGTTTTATAGCATAAGAAAATGTATAAAAATCCATTTATTTCATACATAAATTTATCTTAAAATCTAGCCGATAGGCAACGAACACACCCCTCTGCCCTTCATAACATGCCTCCTCAACCCAGGGATGTGCACATTCTTATATAATCTTTCCAATCTATGTTTTCACATCAAATCCAAAGCTCAACTTCTCTTCTTCGACATTGTTTCCAGTAATCTCTTGGTGTTGCTGTTGTCAAACCTGTCAACCCATGATTTGAAGATTATATGCAACGTGAAATCCATGGTGGATTGAAGATTTGATGCAAAAAAAAATGACTTACCTTCCACCGTAGAACGTGTACGGTTCGTATATGTTGGCCAAGTACTTGCCTGCTCCACTGACTTCCTGCATACGGCTTCGAGCTTCTGCGGCAACTTCCGCTCCAGGACGCCAATGCTCCCAATCCGGTTCTATGCATAGCGTCTCTCCATAGGTGAGCCGAGAACTCCTCCATGGAACTGAACAGCTTCATCGATGGGACGTGGATCGGGGTGCCCTTCGAGTCGTGAAAAGGCCACGAATTGTAGTGCTCGTGGAGCATTCTGGCTAGATCTTGGAAAACCAGGATTTACTACTGATGATGCGACGTGGTAGACAATAATATCCGGTTTCGAGCTCATTCCGTGTCTTGCAATTGCTGCCAAGGTCGCATTCACAACCATATCGGCCGGAACCTATAAGGTTTTGCCATTGTTTTGATTCATCAGACACAATAATGCCAGAATTGATAAATATTAGACTACAACAACTTACAACATCAAGAACTCCATTGGGATCAACAAGGAAACCTGTTAGCTGCCCTTTCCCATAGCATAATACTACTGGATCCATCATCCTAATATATAAACAAAAGGGTACTCTAAATTTTTCCTTAGAAACCTTTGCATTACATTTTCATGTACATGAACTTAAACAGATACCTATTTCCTTCCATCCATCCAGGAAATGGTTCTTTGCAGGTGCTTTCGATGACACTCGGTCGAATTATCACCACCGGTATTTCTCCTCTCATGTTATTGATCATCATTTCTCCCATAGCCTTTGTGAACACGTACGTGTCTTGCCATCCGTGTTTTCTAGCCCTGATCGCGTGTTAATCATCGTGTCAATGCATAAAAGAAATGGAAAAGTTAAAGAAATCACAGAGGAGCAGATAAGAAATGATTTGTACATTACTCTTTCTAAGTTCTGAGTAAGGCTCTAAATGTTCATAACTATTCTGCACATTCTCAAACTTATGATTAAGAAGGGAAAGAGAATTGTCACCTTTCTAATCCCAATTCTTTCATTTTCCGAGCAATACGAACTCTTCTTCGATATCTAAATCGGGTATCAATCTCGGCGTGCTTTCAGAAATTGAATTTTCCTTGCAATGCAATCTCCCATGTCAAATGCCTTCTCCATAACACGTCCTTGTCTTTGGCCATTAACATATGCTGCACATGAAAAATATTCTGCTTATCTGCTTAGACAATATGTCCTTGGGTTCTATATACACCATAAAATATATATATATATATATATATATATATATATTTTGAGTACTTACCTGTTGAAACTTGCAGAAAGAGTTTAAGTTTCTTGCACTCTTGGCGAAACCCATGAGATGGCATGCACCTTTTGTATTTATGTCCTGGCAACATCATATCTGCAATTCAATGATCTTATCTCAACATTCCCAGAATCGTAAAGAAACGGATCGAAAACAGAGAAAGAAGCAAGACCTTTCATCAAAAGTTGTATTAGCGCGGAATTCACGATAATGTCGACTCTTTTGCGATCGATTCGGCTACATTGGCATCCAATCCAAGATCAGATTCACAAACATTTCCTACTACAGGGACCAGTTTGCTTAACATGAAACTTTGGTAACTATCCCCATATGTTTGTTGCAGACACTTGAAAAGATCTGCATTTATGATCTAAACAAAAGAAGAAAGGGAAAAAAAAAAACTAAAATTCGATTCAATAGCAAGAAAAAGGAAAAACCATTCAAGCATGCTATAAGCAAGAAAAAAACAGGCATAAAATACTTCATTTTTCAATCTTTCCATTGCTGCTCTTTGCTTTTAGCCTTCACCAACACAAATATCTTCCCAACATCAGGCACAGTTCGTAAAATCTTCTCAACAAGAACTGCAAATAATTAATAGAAGAAAAAATGTCGAAAATATTATATTAGCATATTCTTTTTTGGTA